TTTTTTTTTTTTTTTTTTTTTAAAAAAGATGACCGGTAAGGGGATCTCAACCCTTGGCTTAGTGTTGTCAGCACGACGCTCACCCAGTGAGCTAACCAGCCATCCCTATATAGGATCCGAACCCGTGGCCTTGGTGTTATCAGCACCGCACTCTGCCGAGTGAGCCACGGGCCGGCCCGCTCCCCAATGATTCTAGTGCACAGTAAGGTTATCAATTTACACAGTCCACTTGTTCTTTACTTTTGGTTTGTAGCTGCCAGTACGTCTCAAGAATCCATCACATAAGCCACACCAAAACCAATTCCAACCTTTCTAAGAATTTTCAGGAGTACAAATCACAACAGCAGTTACCACAGGGGAAGTCTCATTTCAATGACACAAAAGTTGAAAGCTTTCTAAACTGACACTACAGATCTAACACTGGATGTCAAAGATCAGCCTACCCTTCAGAAATGCAGGAAAAAACTTAATGTCTAAGTTTGGAGTTTTCATCAATTGGCCTAGAATTCATGTACCAATGTCTATACCTCACTCAGAATTCTCATACTGGCTTCAGAGAAAGCAAAGCTATTTTCTATTCTCACAAACAGTAGTCAGCACACAGGCTCAAGATAACAAGTACATCAAAGGAAACAACCAGGAAAATGTTAAAAAATTTGAAATGAGATGCCCAACTGATAGCTGGCCTACAACTGCACAAGTTCCTCATCTCATGTGTATGTGTGAGTTGGGGGGGGGGTGTGCTGGTACACAGAGAATAATAAGCAAGGTGGCCAAGATGAGACAGCAGCTTTTTGCCCCAAAGGCCAAACATTTCCAGCAAGCTCTCTGCCAGAAATAATGGTAGACAGACACCTCAGAAGAACGTAAAAAGCCAGGACAGCGTGAAGGTGGTAGGATGGTTTCAAATCATCTCCCAGCAAGAGATGCTAACCAGCTAAGTGTCATGGAATGTTAACTCTTTACGAGTGAAATGTTTCCACAGTTAGCTTTACCTAATGCAAGATGTCACCACCTTTAGTCCCAAGTTTCGTGTTAGCAGAAGAAAAAAGGGGAACGAAACAAGAAAAGGAAGTTTGTCCCCCAAGCCGGTCTCACCTCCCCGCGTCCAGCTCACGGCCCGCAGAGCCTCCCACGTCTGTCAGGCTCGCAGCTGAAGCAGCCAGCTCTCCAGAAGGCCTCTTGCCGGTCCCATCCCCACCGCCGGGGCCACCGTTGCAGCTCTTCGTGCGAAAGAGGCGACTGAGGCGGATTTTGAAGGAGCCCTTCCGAGAGGGGCCCGCGAGTGGCCGGAGGGGCACAGGAGGAGGCGGAGGCGGGGGAGGTTGGTGCTGTTGCTCCCCTCTACTCAGGCGCCCTGGAGGGACCAAGTCTTGCAGCGGGAAGGGCACTGGGGGTAATTCAGGGCCTGGGGGCTGCAGCAGAAGCCGGCTGCACCCTCCTCCTCCACGGCCCGGGCTGCTGAGCTCCTCTTCCGAGCAGCTGTTAGTTTCCAGGCTCTCGGCCTCCGATTCCAATCCCTCCAGGACCAGCAGCGCGTCGCTCGTTTCCGTGGGGTCCTCCCCGGCCTGCGGGGCGGCAGCAGGCGGCTGGGGCTGTGGAGGGGGCTGCTGCGGGGGACACGGGCACGGGCAGCAACCCCCACCGACCGTCTTGACCCCTGGCCCTGCCGGCTGCCCGAGTCCCAGAGCCGCCAACTGCGCCTCTAGTCCAGCCGCCGGGCCCCAGGTCCGCTCAAGCGCCAACCCCGGCGGCAGGGCCTTGGGGTCCAGGGCACACCGGTGCCGGGGACACAGGAGTTCCGAGGGTCCCGGCTCCGGGGCGGCCTCCGCGTCCTCCTCCTCCGGCGGCCGACCCACGTTGCGGAACACCATCAGCT